TGTCTGTCTGTCTGTCTGTCTGTCTGTCTGTCTGTCTGTCTGTCTGTCTGTCTGTCTGTCTGTCTGTCTGTCTGTCTGTCTGTCTGTCTGTCTGTCTGTCTGACATACATACATACATACATACATACATACATACATACATACATACATACATACATACATACATACATACATACATACATACATAAATACATACATATATGCATACATACATACATACATACATACATACATACATACATACATACATACATACATACATACATACATACATACATACATACATACATACATACATACATACATACATACATACATACATACATACATACATACATACATACATACATACATACATACATACATACATACATACATACATACATACATACATACATACATACATACATACAAACATACAAACTTACATACATACATACATACATACATACATACATACATACATACATACATACATACATACATACATACATACATACATACATACATACATACATACATACACACACACACACACACATACATGCATACATACATACATACATACATACATACATACATACATACATACATACATACATACATACATACATACATACATACATACATACATACATACATACATACATACATACATACATACACACACACATACATACATACATACATACATACATACATACATACATACATACATACATACATACTTGTATAAATAAAATACACACACACCTACAATTACACACACACTCATATACAGTCACACATACACCTACATATATACGCCCACATACTTACAACATACGTACATACAAACACACACCTACTTACAAACCTAAAAATACATACATATTTCCACATACATACACACACACTAACAATCACACACACACCTACATAATTCACATAAGTAAAATTACAATGCATGTAAATTATTAGCTACATCTATGGTGGCATATAATCACTAGTAAGCATGAATTTTAAAAGGCTGCGGTTAAATGCGTACATACTCATATTTTTTAGATCGAGTGGCAGGTGATTCCATAAATGTGCAGCAGAATATGACAAACTTGTTTTATATAGATCTATTCTAGGCTTCGGCAAATGCAATAAATTTAGGCGTTTGCTGTTCTTGGGGTTGGTGTGAATGAACCTGAAAAGATAATCTGGAGTGTTCTGAGCTAATATTTTATGAACAAATTTACCTTTATTATAAATTAATCGTTTATTAAATGGGAGAATTCTTACATGGCTAAAGAGATGATTTTTGTCAGCATGCTTTCTATCTGAGACTAGGTGTAAAGCGCGATTTTGTAGAGAACACAGTCGTTTTAAGTTGGATTTGGAGCAACTATCCCAAACTGTGGAACAGTAGTCAATATGGGCTTGAATGTAAGATACATAAAATAGTGTACGTGTGCTCTGATCCAGAAAGTGCTGAATTTTGGCTAACTGATAAACTTTTTGTGCTACTTTCTTGGTTATGGCATGAACATGAGAACACCAAGTTAAATTGCTATCAATTATAACACCTAATGTTTTGTGTTCATTAACATTACTAATAAGTACTTTGTCAACATAGAGCTCAAGTGGAGGCTTGTTTAAGTCTAACGTCTGTAACTTTTGTCTGGTTGCTATTAGATTTAGTTTTAGTTATGTTAATTTGCATGCGATTAGCATTACTCCATTTAATAAGCTTATTTAGTTCATTCTGTAATGAACGTCCTAACTCATCATAGTTCTCATTTTTAGTGTATATAGTATAGTCATCTGCAAATAAGTCACATGTTGTGCTAAGATGTAACGGAAGGTCATTAATATATGTGGCAAAAAGCAATGGTCAAAGTACTGAACCCTGAGGAACGCCAATATTTAGCTGTGTGGAATCTGAAAGGCAGTTCTCAAAGGAAACTACTTGTCGTCGATCAGAAATGAATGACTTTATTAAATTTACTAAATTGTTGTTAGTTTTCAAGGTAATTAATCTGTTTATTTAAAATATCATGATCAACCATATCAAATGCTTTCTTAAAATCAACAAAAACTGCTCCACACATCTTGCCACTGTTGATGTTAACATGCCAGTTGTCTGTCATTTTTGTCAAGGCAGTATGACAAGAGTATTTAGGCCTGAACCCTGACTGACTATCGATGATTAGATTGTTGCTATTTAAATGCTGAAATATTATAGATAAAATATTATAAATAAAATAGATAGATAGATAGACAGACAGACAGACAGACAGACAGACAGACAGACAGACAGACAGACAGACAGACAGACAGACAGACAGACAGACAGACAGACAGACAGACAGACAGACAGACAGACAGACAGACAGACAGACAGACAGACAGACAGACAGACAGACAGACAGACAGACAGACAGACAGACAGACAGACAGACAGACAGACAGACAGACAGACAGACAGACAGACAGACAGACAGACAGACAGACAGACAGACAGACAGACAGACAGACAGACAGACAGACAGACAGACAGACAGACAGACAGACAGACAGACAGACAGACAGACAGACAGACAGATAGATAGATAGATAGATAGATAGATAGATAGATAGATAGATAGATAGATAGATAGATAGATAGATAGATAGATAGATAGATAGATAGATAGATAGATAGATAGATAGGTAGGTAGGTAGGTAGGTAGGTAGGTAGGTAGGTAGGTAGGTAGGTAGGTAGGTAGGTAGGTAGTAGACAGACAGACAGACAGACAGACAGACAGACAGACAGACAGACAGACAGACAGACAGACAGACAGACAGACAGACAGACAGACAGACAGACAGACAGACAGACAGACAGACAGACAGACAGACAGACAGACAGACAGACAGACAGACAGAGAGAGAGAGAGAGAGATAGATAGATAGATAGATAGATAGATAGATAGATAGATAGATAGATAGATAGATAGATAGATAGATAGATAGATAGATAGATAGATAGATAGATAGATAGATAGATAGATAGATAGATAGATAGATAGATAGATAGATAGATAGATAGATAGATAGATAGATAGATAGATAGATAGATAGATAGATAGATAGATAGATAGATAGATAGATAGATAGATAGATAGATAGATAGATAGATAGATAGATAGATAGATAGATAGATAGATAGATAGATAGATAGATAGATAGATAGATAGATAGATAGATAGATAGATAGATAGATAGATAGATAGATAGATAGATAGATAGATAGATAGATAGATAGATAGATAGATAGATAGATAGATAGATAGATAGATAGATAGATAGATAGATAGATAGATAGATAGATAGATAAATAGATAGATAGATAGATAGATAGATAGATAGATAGATAGATAGATAGATAGATAGATAGATAGATAGATAGATAGATAGATAGATAGATAGATAGATAGATAGATAGATAGATAGATAGATAGATGGCCGGGTACAGCTAGTATATATATATATATATATATATATATATATATATATATATATATATATATATATATATATATATATATATATATATATATATATATATATATATCCATGCATACAGACTCATATGAATAATACATGCTTAAAGCAGGTGAAAGAATGTTAAAATATAGGAAATATGATCAAGAAGTGTGACAGAATAGATGGGGAAATGTATATAACACACCGAAAGGCAGGAGTACTTACAGATCATCCGGCATCGCAATTAAAACATCTAATATATCTATTTGTCCAAGCTTTCCCATGAATCATTACAGTCTGAGAAGAATGAGTTACCAGGGGATCTGGTTGACGCTCAACACTCAAGGGAAAGGCGAGAAATATACAATCAGAGACTGGTGCCATCGGAATTGAAACTCTACGCCTGCTGCTGAATATAGGGAATGGTCACTTAAGGGAGTGTGCCAAGTGCTTTGATATCGATTCCTAATTCAACATTCAACACTAAGTATAGTTACACATCATAAGAAGTACATTAATACCAATACTACTTTAATAATGCCAAACATAGACACATTAAATATTAACTAAAATTGTCACTACTGCCTGTATGTAGGGCATTTTAGGGCGGTGTAGACAGGGCGTCTTGAGGGTTAGGATTTTGGGGCCGCTTGGCTAGTGCTGTCGCCACAAACTGTACACGTTAGGATCTTTACTTTTGATCCTGACAGAAAACTCTATCACCTTACCGGGTGTCGAAGCCGGGTCTCCCGCATGAGTTCGACGCAGTAACCGCTTAACCAGAAAATAAATGCACGCGAGATGAGATGATCAAGAAAAGCTAACAATTTCACCATATTAAAAAGAGTTAGAAACGATACTATCACGCAAACAGTGAGAGGAACACCTTTGGTTAAATACATTACGAACAAGATAAAATGGCTCAGGTATATTGGGTTAAATGAAGAAAGACCAGATACCTACACAGCCACTAAACAGAACAAATTATGATAGAGCAGAATGCATGAATGAATTAATGAATTTTTGACCTCACTGCAGTTTGAACATGCTCTGTTCCCCAGTAGAACAATGGGTTCCACTTAATTGAATCCGGCTATCTTTTTCACGATGAGTTCAAAATGCCTTTCTGAAACTGCATGCGTCAGGCAACTGGTGCAATTATTGTAGTTTTGCTGTAAACGATAGATACTTCAAAACTAGAGCCCCTTTAAGGATACTATCGACTGTGGGGAAAGGCTGTGGAGGGGGTGGGGGTGGATGAGGGAGGGGGGAGTAAGAAGTAAAAATGAAAAATCGTTTCGACGCATACAGTTTTAATAATTATATACTTTGCAGTGAACTGACCAAGAAGCAGCCGGAGTAAAACAAAGACACTGTATCATTTTTAAGAAATACAGTCTCATAGAAATAGAAACAGTCTACAGTGAAAACAAATCCGGTAGCCTGCTGGTAACGTAACTCGATGCTTAGAGCAAGCTGGCTTATTGTTAAACACATACAGGACAATGAAAGGCCCGGATTGTCTCGGCCTGCTGCTACTGGTGACCGTGGTGCACGGCCGGATTGTAGATATTCGCAGGGAAGTGTCCAACATTGTCAAGTACCACAACCATGAGCGACGGGAGAAGCACCTCATGGCGTCCGACATGCTGGAGATGGTAAGTGCTTCTGTGTAGTCTCGTTGTGGTCCTGTGGTTTGGGTCTTTAACACAGATGATCTGTGACTGCAGACTGGTAGAGTGGTTGCAGCATGCATGCGGTAGCACCAGCACAAAGAAAGCACTAGAGTGTGTTACAAATGTTCTTGGACGTGGGGTCTCAAGGGCCATCAGCCTAGCTAAGTGCGTAATAATGCTATAGTTAAACAAGTGTGTATACTAATAATAAGGATACTATAGCTAAAATCCACCCCCACCGTGGGTTCTGGGACCCCGGTGTGGGAGCACCAACAAGAATAAAAGACCTGCTGTCTTCTGACAAGCATTGTCCATAGGTCGATTAATTAAGAATGTTTCCTTCAAAGTCGAAGTGAATCTGCCTAAAAGGCGGGGAACTAATAGTTTGCATATAAATAAACTAGATGTGTAAAACGGATGTGCACACAAAACTCAAGCCCTGTAGCATAACTCAATTCTAGACTTGGTCGAAGAACCAGGACCTTCCGCCGGAGTTTACAGTGTCTGTTCAAGGAAAGGGGATTGATTGAGTACCTAATATCTTGTGGGAGGTGAGCGAGGTTCAAGACGCCTCATCGCCCATGTTCTGGTGCCCCTGCATATCTGCATGCTTTTGGTGGAGTGTTTCTGTGTGGTGTAGCGTCCTACGGGCAGTGAATAACACCATCACTGGAAAATCATTTGTTTTATTTCATTGCCCACGAAATATGCCAGCTGTGATTGGCTGCTCGGTTTCTTAGCCATTGTCCCTGCTCTGTCAGACGTCAACAAAAACCTATTATGATAAAGCAGCAGTCAATGTTGTTGGCTTCCATGTAGTGCAAGTGTAGGCCAAAAGTGTATCTATCCGTCTATCTTTCTGTCTATCAAACTATCAACCTAATTTTGTATTATCTATCTAATCCATTTATACATCCGTCCGTCAGTCCGTCTGTCTATCTGTCCGTCTGTCTGTCCTCCCGTCTGTCTGTCCGTTTATCTGTCTGTCCGTCCGTCTGCATGTGTGTCTCTCTAGCTGTCTAGCTGTCTGTCTGTTTGTAGTATTATTTTAAAGTATAATGACATGGATAAGTAACATTTTTCAGTGTCTGGCTACCAAAAATATCCATAATTATCCTTGTCAATGGTTAGTTCTCAGCCACAATGTATAATGTTCTCAAATAGGTGTGCATATGACACTCATCATCATCATCATCAGGTACCTTGCCGACTGGCGTGGGCGATCATGCCTCTCCATAATCTGCGATCTCCTGCAGCATGTATTAGTTCGGGTGCCGACACACCTCCATGCCATGCAACGAGACAGTCAAGCATCTTCCCTCGTTGTCTTTCTCTATCCCTTTTTCCACAGATCTTTCCAGTGGTCACAACATGTTCTATTTTCCCTCTTCTCACAACATGGCCGAATAATGATGACTATCTCCTTCTGATGTCTGTGATAAGTTGTCTTCGGGCTCCCGCCTCTTTCAAAATCTCTTGGTTGCTTTTTTTGGCTGTCCAAGGTATTCTAAGCATTCTTCTGTAAAACCACATCTCTGAGGCCTCTAAAAATTGTTTGGCCTGCCTACCGATTGTCCGGCATTCACATCCATATGTAGCATGGATGTATGTAGCAAGCAAGAATGACACTGCAGTGTACAATTTCTTTGACTCTGTTGTATTAATTCTAAAGCATTTATATGGCTATACAATCCGGTATCTTTCATGCAGGAAGTAATAAAAAACACACATAAATCCAACCAAATACTATTTTTTATTAATAAAAGACTACATGCCTTTCAATCTTCTGGGTTTAACTGGGATTTACTTACTGTTAATTAGGATCAAGAAACATTTATGAGTTGTTTTAGCCATTATATACTTTAACACTCACATGATAAAATCTCCTGTCTTCTACCCTTATCCCCCCATTAAAGCATACTTCGACCAAGTAGTGCTAAAAAGTCTTAATTTGTTTACTTTTTGCCCTTACCGTTGTATTTATCCTTGCAGTTCTTAAGTATTTGTGGCATCTAGTTCTTTCTTTGGCCCCGTAATTTTCCACGCAAAGACTTTCAAGTGTTAACATATAAGGTAATTTTAGCTGTCTAACAAAAGTTCAAATTACAAAACCTTTAAATGACGAGGCGATGTTGACATTGGTTTCATTGACCTGGGCTTCAGGTACGAACCTGTCTAAAACTGATAGCAGAAACTATCGGGAAAAGTAAAAGTGGCCCGGGTGATTTTTACTGCGTCATCTAAAGAGTGTACATATATGGCCTATAAGTATTTTTCACTTCCTATGTTAGGGGTGTGGGAGGGGAGGGGGGCGGGGGGGACAGAGAAGTTTCATTAAAAAAAAATAAGCTTACATGTACTTGTAATAATCCATTTTAGTCACATTGTTAGTTTCATTATAAATAAATATCAAACAGAATTTGCTAATCAAAAAGCCACAGACGTTACTGTTTTCCTGAAACGTTTGTACATCGATAAAAAATATAATCAATAGGATAGGACAAATAATTAATTTGGGGTTATTAGGGGGAATTACTAGAAGTATAAGTCCAAGTGAAACAAATCCAGGCCTTGATTGAACCCGGAATCTCTGGCACTCAAGGCGGACACCATATCTTTTGACCACGCAGCCTCCTGACCAAAGAAATCATGAGAAAGGTCAACAGTATCTGAGTCAACACTCATCACAAGAATTGTCGGCAACACCTAGCACACGAAGGTGAAGCTAGAGTCAGCATGAGTTGAGTCACGTTCCGGGAATAATCTCAGTGGGATCTATGTATCTGCGGAAGAACGGAGAACACAGACTCATGGAATGAACTTGGGCAGATCTCATCAGTTAAGAGTAGATTGTCTTGCTACGAAGATGTGTGAAGTCCTTTGCTTTTCGAGCAAGCAGTAGAGAGGACGTGATTGTTTCTCGTCGATTCTCTAGTTCTCGACTGTGTGTTGAGGAGACTCGGTGATTGGAGTCTCTAGCCAGTTTCGTTGCGTGGAATTTCTAGTTATGTTCTGGCACGCGACTATGTGTCGAGGAGACTCGGTGATTGGAGTCTCTAGCCAGTTTCGTTGCGTGGAATTTCTAGTTATGTTCTGGCACGCGACTATGTGTCGAGGAGACTCGGTGATTGGAGTATCTAGCCAGTTTCGTTGTGTGGAATTTCTAGTTATGTTCTGGCACGCGACTATGTGTCGAGGAGACGTAGGGAGTGATTACAGTTTCTAGTCAGCTCAATATCTATGTGCCTGTTTAATGCAGTGTATTTTTTTTTTGGGCAAGGCCTAGTAGGTCAACTGGAAATGGTCCATTACTACCGCTAGCCATAGTGTGAGTGGGCAGCCGGTTGTCGTAGTCACAGAGGCGGTGATAGCTCGTGGATCCAGGGACAACAGCTAGATTGAGCTGGGTTTCATAGCGCCGCTTGTAATTCATGTGAAGGATGCGGAGCATAATGTGTTATGTAATCACTCGAATATCATCAACAGGGTGTAGACGTGTATCTTGTGATTTGCATTGTTGCATCTTTGTGTGTGCGTGCAAGTAGACATGAACGTTCTGTCTAATAAATATACTTTCGGTAAGCAGAGTGTTGTGTCGTGCTGAACAGTGCAACAACTCGTGTCGTGAACGTTAATCTAACCACCTAGATATTTTGTCAAATGTGCGAGAGATAGCTTCCCTCCTGCGTACAACTATAACTAAACCTAGGGACCGAACGGGGCTTCTGGGACCTGTCCCAGGGTGATCCTCATCCGAATGGTGGCACTTTGTGCAACCGCGTGTTTATCGCTCGATGTGATGTCCTAGTGGGGTTGAACTTCATCAGCATAATGTTTGTTTATTTCTTAAAGGCAATCGTTCAGGATATTAACTCTTTTTAGTTTCAAGCATTTGTTATGTTAACTCTGCCTATTCCCTCAGACGTGAGCCTCACAGCAATAAATACTGATGTGTGAAGGCGTTGAAGGGGAGGCGGTGTGTGGGGGAGGGGGTGTGAGGGGAAGGCGGTGTGTGGGGGAGGGGGTTTGAGGGGGAGGAGGTGTGTGGGGGCGGGGGTTATTAAATTGATTCGCTTGTGGTGTTTCGTTTTGAGTTCAAAATTTTAATGGGATGTCCCATTTTCAGCTTAAAATTTTAGTGAAAAGTCCCGATTCCAGCTAAAGATAGTATGTTCACCCTAATCAATAAGTCCTTTATTTACTCCACAACTGAAGTAGGATTACACCATAGGAGATTCAGCTATTGTTTCGTTACTGTGATTTGGCATCGTATTTTTATAGACGTCATTTTCTTGTTATTATATTTTATTATTACCTATGTGAGGTTAAAGAATTATGTCATTATTTCTTCTTGAGCAACTGTACGAATGCTTGTTCTTCTAATTAACTGCTTTATCTTGCGTATGACACATATACATATTCTTCTGAAGTGCAACACAGCCCCTGTCTTCTATGGCGAAAAATAATATTGCCAGTTGTAGTCTTAATAAACGTTGAATTGAAGGAATTTTAGTTAATTTGTTACCTGATATTGTTATGTTAAAGTATTCGACATTGCGGATGACTGTTTTGTTTACTTTTAATTCAGCGATAGTGCTAAATGCTCTGTTATCCTCTTTCAACTGGTATTTTTATGTAACTGCTTTTCAGACAAGAGACTGAATCAAGAGTCTAAAATGCAAACGCCGTTATCTGTCAGTTAACTCCATTGCGCAGATCAAACTACTTCATTGCCATAAAATAATAAATGAGTTAAAGATTAAATTATCAGTGTCAAACATTGATTATAAATAGAACACAGGACCATAAAATCATGACCTGTAAAATGCACTGTCTCCAACAGTTCAGCAGCAAAATAAAAAAAAAATAAAAAAAAGGGCAGGATCACGATACCAGCGTTGGAGAGACAGTTTGCACAAGCTTGCCTAAATTACACTGAAAGACAGAGGATGATGTTGTTTCGCTATCAAATAAGAATGCAG